TCGATATCTCAAACGAACACAACTGACGTAAATTGAGAGTACAACGGAGCTTGATGATCGACACAAACACGCACGTCGTCAATCTTGACTCCTTGGGTCTCTCTGCTCAGGGCAGAAAATCAAATCCACGCAGAATTCCATCATCATCCCTTAGAATTACGAACTTCGTCGCACATTCGCGCCGCACCCCCTTTCACCCCTCGTGTTTGGTTGCACAAAATACACAATCACACAGGACGCTGGACAAACGGGTGGAACACGCGGCTAGCCACCAGAAGCCCAGATCAATGTCTCACTGATCCTACCCACCCCCAAACTGCTTACCATCTCCACGTTCTTCTCCGCCTCTCCCCCGTGGAGAACTGCCAAGCAAGGGAGTCGGAGACATTTGCAAACTCAGAGACAGGACGAGAGCCAAGGCGTGCTAACCTAGTGTTACCATGAGATAAGGACCCCCAAACTTCAAGGGGCGTCAAGCCATGTCTTCATCTAGATGTGAAGTAAACAATCCAGATCATTCTCCACATCTAGGGAAACAACATGTCTCTTGATGTCCACACGCCCGGCGCCGATGCCATCGAGACAAGTCAATTCCTAGGATAGTGCGGCTCCCTCCCCAGGCCATCCAATCTCGTCAAACAGCACACCATCCGTCCCGACAGAGTGTGTGAGTGCGTACGACACAACGAACGGGCACGCTTCCCTTTCCAGCACTCTCATTGGCCAATGGCTCATCTTCTTGTCAAGATAAAGCTACGGGCGTATGTGTTACACGCTCGAATTCCCTCGAAAGGACCATGATAACAAGAACCACCACCACCACCACCGCACAAGCGCACACCATCCAGTCATCTACACCACACCCTCAGACTCCTTCCAGGTCTCCCTCCTAAGGTCGCTCTGGCGCTGAGAAACTTTCTCCTAGCTGCTTTGCTAGACCTACACACATCACATCGTCCAGAGTTATCAACAGCCACTACTTATTCCCTCTCGCACCCCTTCCCACCAAGGAATTCACCAAGCCTTTCCAGAGCCGCCTAGCTACCATGGAGCCATGGCACGGCCCCATGGGGCCACCCCACGCTTGACCGTGCAATATCTCTCCAATGTAATCATACCTTCCAATGCCCCGCCCATCGGCCGCCCTTTTGCGTCAGCGCACATATCTCGGATCCGTCTATCCGTAGCTGACGCATGTATCTCTCTCCCACCCTCACACGTATACACTATCTTTCTCTCCTTTCCGTTGATACTCAAACTAGTCCGTACCTCGTAACACCAGAATACGTGCTCTCGATGCATCTCGCCGGCGGGATTAGTCTCTACACACGCACAGCGACTACACACCCCGTCTCCGGCTCAGCCACTCACCACCACGCGGTCCGGCAGACGGCATCTTCACCACGATTCGCTGACTAAACTCGGCACCCGGGGAGAAGATCGGCACGGGGGGGGAGTGGACTTTTGTGAGGTGTGTGTTGCCCAGTCCGAGCCTATCCTCGGCACCCATTCACCGAGGGAGGCGGGATCTCAGGGTAAGGTACGGATACGACAGAGTCTGAAAGTATCCAGAAGGGCGTACGAAGAGAGCTCCTCCAGACATCCACCCATTCAGCCACTTTACATGGTCACGGTGAACCGCAATCCCCCTTCTGGAACTCCCGAGATCGTCGCTGCAACATGTACGTAAGCAGGAGCAGCATATGCGACATGTAAGTAAAACCACGCCTCACACCAGAAAAAGCGGGTTTCTCTCCGCCTTTCCTAAATTCTTGAAGTGATCGACACGGGTCCAAACTTGACAGCGGAACCACTGCCAATGCGTGTTTTCCCTCTCGATTCCAGGTTCCGTTTCGCCACCTCCACCTCCACACGAAGCTCTTCTTCCCCCCAAAAAACCAGAAACACGTCTCCAGACAACGTAATTCATACTCCAGTCAAATCCCCCTGTTGCCCCCCTGTCATGTGCATTTGACCTTGCGTCCCTGGCTCCAGGACCCTGATTTTCAGTAGGGGCACAACTCCGCGTCCTCCCGATACCGTCCGTTTCGGTATCATGCTCTCATCGTGCATATCATCATGAACTTGTCACATGGATCCTTGCTTTTCTACTGTATGTATCCGTATTCACCTTGCCACGTCCAATGCCTTCAGATTGCCGCTCCGCGTTGGTGAGTCGGCGCCAAAATATCGGTGCAACCCGCAACCTAAAATCGCCAAAATCACCGAATGAAAAAAAAAAAAAAAAAAAAAAAAAAGGATAGATAAAATCGTCCGATCAACGTAGCATTGGTTACCTTCCCTGTGCCCCCCCTCCTCTCCTCCCTCAGGATTTTCCGCGCGTATCTGAGATGGACCCTTACTCAAACCACCCCGATTCATGAGATAAGCCGGCGGGCTTAACACACTTCAGCTCAAAACTAAACGGAAACCGAAGGTGAAAAAGAAAGAAAAAAAAAGGCGCGGGAAAAGGCTAGATAGCTAGAGAGAGTAGTGACACGCATATTGTCAGATAAGTCTGCATAGCCACGAACGATTCAGGACACTGCAGATGTACAGGTAAACGCAACTATCCCCCCAAAAGGTCCAAAGGAGGAAAATCGATGGAAGTTGGTCAAAACTATGGGAAAAGAACCATATGCAATGTCGTACATAAAACACTGTTAGCGACCAAAAAGTCCACAATTTATCAAAAACGCCCCGAACGACAAGACGGCTTGAGGTAAACTTTGAGCCACGTATTGGACCCTGAACATCTATTTCTCTTTGCAGAACTTGCTTCACACGGGAGGAAAAAGCCACAACTTGTAAATAAGAAATAAAGCATATGGTATCGAAGTTTCTGCCCCCCCCCCATATACACCCGTAGCAGTACTTTTTACCATAAGCCCCTCGTCAGCACGCAGAGAATGGCGTTTACATCATCAGCCACCGATATCACGCTTCCACACCGCTTCTTTACCGTCACCACCACCACTACCATCACAACCTAGTAAGCACATCAAGCAACCTTGTACAACCCCCCGGAAGGAGCCGATAACCTTTGAGTTCCAACGTAAGCAGCCTAAACATCACATCACATCACATCACATCTGCCTTGGGTTTCCTTGAGAAATCAGAAAAAACAAAAAACAGGGTGAAATTCGTAGCCAGCTACCTAGATAGACGTGTCGACGGAAGAGAGAAAGATCTCCGCAGGGGTCAAGGGAGCCTCATCATCGACATCAGCCGCATTCCAAACACCTCATCTAGGCGTGCTAGGTAGGTATATCCACCTCTGCCTTATGCTCCCTTCCCTAGCACGCCTAGCTAGCAAAATCTAGTTCACGTCTCCCCGTCCTCCCCGATCCCCATCCCGCGTCGTAGAGGTTCTCAGGGTTCTCAGGGTTCCCAGCGGTTCATCACCCGGCGGCCGCGGGAAGGCCAAATGGATCCCAAAATACATACCAAAACAAAAAACATCCCCAGGTACACAAACGAGAGTCTAACTCCAGCCCCCTCCCACCCCAACGGGATAGGTCCAAGGGCAAATGGGTGGACGGAAAGCTCGAGCAAGAAAAATCCATGATTTGCGTACACGAATGATCTAGAAGCACGTCATCCCGTACAAAAAACAAAAAAACAAGAACACACCTATATCTCACAGCCGTCTAGACTCCAATCGAAATCGAATAAACACACCCTCGCACAACACCACTCTGGACCTGAGATGCCCCCCGCCCCCAAGAACTTACATCCCACATAACGCCGCACCTTATCAGTAGCAGGAGGCGCCAATCTTCCTTGCCTCCATGGCGGTCAAGCCCAATACCTAGCTGTCCACCCCATCCCTTGCTTCCCAGAGATGGCAGAGGAAAAGCAAATATACTGAGACATTGGAGATGCTGGGAGACATTTGGCGTAATGATACACGTAAACCACGAGGTAAACGGCCGGGACAGGTACACAAGCACAATCTTTCTCATAGTAATATCATCCTGAACGTCAGCGTGAGGAGAGAGGCATCACAAGAAAACGTACAAGCATAACAAATGTTGTTAATCGTGTAAATATTGGCATCTTTGCCGCGGCGAGTTCATTTGCTCGAGCCTTTTTCTGCCTTTCTAATACATTGGACCCGGGTCTCATCCAGGTGTATGTATCCGTTCCCCTCGGCGATACACATTTGTACGCCACTTTCCCACTGCTCATCCCTTGATACCCGGGGGGTTTTCCTGCAAGCCATCGCTGCCAAGAATGCTCGACATCTCCACCCAAGACACGCCGAGCCCGATATGGACGAGACCAGCATTGCGGAGTCGACGTCAAGTTTGCAGCTACGCTATGCCTGGGATTCCACCTCTTCCCACAGTCCAAGCTCCGAGTGCTACAATACAAGCACATCAAATTCGACTGCACCACACTCTGATGAGACCCTGCCAATTTTTTTTGTTGTGAAACAAATCATTTTCTTTTGTTCTCCGCCCATCTTTCCCGTTGCGCCATTGCTGAAACCCAAATACCTGGACCCAATTCGCGTGCCAGGCCTTGTTGGTGAAGACCAACTAGTATCCAAGATATCCCCAAAATGATTGTTACAAGCATATTCCGTGAATCGTCATTAAACCCCTACGCAACATTCATTGCTGCCGTGATAGTGAGGGTATTGACCAGCCCATTACCATGATTCGCAAGCCTAAGCGCCGGTGCCCACCATGTACCATTCCATATTGAGCTCGCGACCAAATGTGATGGAGCCGTCGACTCGCTGTGTGATAATGCTCCCCGTGTGTAATGGTGTGATTAGACCAGAACCGTCCGTGACCCGTTGTGCTGGCCTAATTACATCCTCGTAGTCGCTTCAAGATGTGAAAATCCTCCAGCTTCTCGCAGATGCATGAGGATATATGCGTCCGCTTTTCTCCGTATCGTACACCCACTACCAATAACGACGTGCCGATTGAGTTTCGCTGGAGTCGAGCTAGGAAAATCCGAGACCCAAACCGCTTTCAACGAGTTCTTTACTTCCTCCATCCAACGTTCCAAATAACATGAGCAATATCCCGGGCTGTATTAACTGTATCAATGACCCGGCCGATGATTCCTTCGTTGGAAGATGATTCCCCCTCTTCATATGGCATGAACATACCTGACGAGGTCCGACGCATGCCAGCTGGTTCGGCGTTCAGACTGTTGGTGGACGATGATCGTTGTAAGCCTGTGGATTTGTCGTCGGTTTTTGTTGGTGACTGCCAACCCATGGAAACGGCTTCCTCCTCTTCATCGTCATCATCATCAAAGAAAAACTTCCCAGAACCCTTGCAAGGTCGAAGAGTTTCTTGAGATGAGGATGGCGACATGACGGGGCTTCTGTACGAAGTGCTGTGCTTCATGGCTGTTTCTTGTGGCTCGGGAGTATCTTCGCGGTACTTAAGAGTGGTCGACGGCAACATCGCGATCGTCTTGCCCTCAGCGGCAGCGGCAGCTTTTGACGACTTTTTTCTGAGCAGGGGTGCCTTCTTCTTTGTTCGGGATCTCTTCATCATGATAGCTCCTTCGTCCGAGTCGCTGTTGTCGTAGCGCTCAGTGTCTGCGTCATCATCATCATCATCGTCGCCCTTGATATCAACTGCGATGCATTGAGACACCTGCTCGTTGAAGTGGATGTGCTTCTTCTCACTGGAGGGAGAGATGATGCCGGATGATGTACTTGACGGGCACAGGTTGGAGCTGTCGCGACTCAGTCTTCTCGATGAGAATGGAAACGTGACGTAGTCTGTGGTGGCTCGCTCCAGTGTTGGTCGAGCCAAACGTCTCCGTCCGTCCTTTTCTTGGGCTTGGACTGCCGCGGCAGCCTGCTTCAGCAAAGAAGACGCGGATAATGACCTCTGTAGCATGACTTCCGACATACTCCTCTTCTTGAGGATAGGCTTCTTGTTGACAAACGAGTTATTCTTGGTAAGCCTGGCGCTGTTGGGGTCGGTGGTGATGGGGTTCAGGGTGTTTGGACCCGTCTGTAATGGTCCATAAAGCCAGGTAACATCACAATCCTTGAGCCTGCCAGGAGTTAGTTTGGACTGACGTATGCTTCCACGATTACCTACCAGTTCAAGGTCTCGGGGGAGACGGTTTTCAGCTTGTTCTTCGACTTCATCCAGGTCCTCCATGATGCGTTTTCTAAGCGAGCCGCGTTGCTGTATTCGGACCTCCGGGACACGATGAACTTCCATGACGACCAGATATCCTCCTCTTTCCAGTTGTGCGAGAGATAGTCAACGTGACGCGAGGGTTGTACTCGAACAGCGGTATCGTCTTCTGCATGTTCTACATCCAAAATGAACTCTGGGGTGTTGGGTCTGGAAGTGTTTCCATCGGTGTCGTTGTCGACGGGTGAGACAGTGTACGAGTCACCAGTCCGGGGACTTGCTGGTGCTTCCAGGTCTTCTTCAACTTGGTCAAAATAGCCAGACTCCTCATAGTGGGGAATGACGAAGTGGTCGTTGGCGTGCACCGCGAGGTCTAATGTGTCGTCGCAATCGGATGCAATGGAGACATTGCTGGCAGGTGTTGAGGAGCAAGAGAGGTCGGTAGATTCGGCGTGAATGGTCCTGGGGGATGAAGGGGCAGACGATGGTGCTGAGTCGGGATACACCTTGGCGTCTGCAAATACGTCGCTGATATGGCTGGGGGCAGGAGCCGAGTGGAAGCTCGATTGTTTTGTGACGAACTTTGGTTGTGAGTGCGAACGTCGCAGGTTGGATGAGGAGAAGTAGGTGTTCTCCTCTGAAGATAGAACGACAGCCATCGTGAAGGTGGTTAGGCGAATTGAGGAACGTTAGTCCCTAATCGCCGCTAATTCGGTACAGAGGCGAGCAAGATCGGTCATAAGTATCCAAATGGAAGCTGTGCTCGTCGGGTTGGTGGTGTTTTTTTGTGATAGTTGTTGTTGTTGTAGGTGGATAGGAAGGAGGTGATAGCAGCAGGTCGTAGATCGTGGACCAAAGAGTCGGGATCGGGGCGACCGGCTACGCAGGACGGAGAGGGGACTGTTTTGTCCGGGATGACGGTCCCTTTTTCTTACTCCTCCCACACCAGGCCGTTGGTTGTACCGTGCAGGTTTTCGGTGGCTCAGGACCTAGCGCGGTGGCGTCCCAAGAAACAAAGGCGGTGACTGGAGCGATGCGCGGGGAATTCGCCAGTGGAAAAGGCGGAGGAGTCGTAGATCAGGTAGGGCGAAACGGAAGAGCAAAACTGGCTGGCGCGAGCTTGGACTGACGGTACACGCGTGAGGGTCAGTGACGACGGTCGAGAAGAGACGACGGCTTGGAAACGCAAACGAGAAGGTGAAAAACCAGGCGAGTCGCGGGCGGCAACGGGAGGAAGCGGGAGGGAGGCGGTTTGTATATTTGCTCGAGTCTCGAGTCGGGTAGGTAGGTGGAGAGTGAGGACAAGAAGAACACCCGAGGTGTGAAGGGAAGAAGGGATGGGTGGACGGATGGAAAGGGTAGGTAAATGTAATCCGTGGTGTATGGAGAATTTGGGCTGCTCGATAGCCAGGCACGCCAGGCAGGGTAGGGGAAGAGAAAAAAGAGGTAAAAAAGTAAAATACTGGATAGGGAAGCGGATCGAGAAACTGGAACGACAACCGGCACGTTCGAGCCCCAGAGGCTGATTGCAGGTCTCGTTCTTTTGCCCGCCCCAGTGGAGTCTCTCAGTGGATTAGGAGGAGAGAGAGAAAAAGGTAGGAGAAAGAGTGGGAGGTACGGACACCACTCACATACCGGTACGCCAGGTCAGGGCAGGTATACGACCGGGGAGGGGGGTGAGGAGGAGGTACCGGTATCCGTACGAATACCTACTGCAAAGATGGAAGATGAGGGGGGGTCCAAGTCAATGTGGAGGGGGTCAGAATGCAGAAAGGCAGAGCGAGGAGGGAGAACTTGAGAAGAGAGAGAGAGAGAGAGAGAGGGGGGGGGGGGGGGGGGCGTGGGAGATGACGCTCCGGGGTGTGTGGGAGACACAAGATTTTATTTTTTTTGCCTTTGCGTCTGGTTATTCGGGAAAGGGCTCGATGATGCAAGCAAGGGTGATGGTGGGCAAGGAGTCCAAAGGGTGGCAGGGGGAGACCTCGTCTGTGTGGAGAAGTAGCGAGGACTGGACCCGGGCTTGGAGGGAAGCACTCATTATTATTGAGACTTGGAAACGGAGAGAGTGAGTGAAAATAATAGTTGATCGAGGGGATGAAAGCTTCACATGGTGTTGGATCACAGCCTGCTGAGCCGCATGGAAGACAGACACTGGGAATCTGGAGACCGAGAGACGAAGACAAGAGGAGGAGGAACTTGAGGAGAGACATCTGGGGACTTTGCGAGATGTTCTGGGGCCCGGGGATGAACAATGTGGATGGGACTGCGACGTGGACGTGGACTGGGGAGGAGGGATCAGGGCACTAGCAGCAAGAAAGCAACAAGCAACAAGCAAGAAGTGAATGTGCGGTGCAGTTGCGATGCGAAAAGAGGTACTTTGCCATAGTCCGGCACGCCACCGACTACTTCACGTACAAGGTAGTTCCTTACGAACAGACAGACCTAAAGATACGTACTTTTGTATCTCGTGAAGTGCCTACCTACCTCGGGATACCTATGAGCAAGTGGGACAAGGACCTCAGTCTTGTAGCCACTTAGCAGGGACAATATACGTGGATGTGGATGGGTAGCAGATGGACATACGCAGGCTGTACGTAGGCAGAGTAGCCGGAGTGACGGATGCAAGTACAGAGTAAAGATACCGGTAGATTGGTGTCGTTGAGGAGGCAGGTATGATGCTGAGGGAATTCGAGGCAACTGAAAAGTACAGGGGCTATGCGAAAGAGAGAGAGAGAGAGAGAGAGAGAGAGAGAGAGAGACAGCAAGAGAGAAAGAGGCGCAGGTGTACAGTAACAAAGTAGGGGCGCAACGCGACGCAACGCTATGCTGCGCTGCGCAAGCGTTTATCAGACCCCTGCAAGCCAATGCACACACCAGAGATGCAAGTGTGGCAGCTTGCAGCCAGACCGACAACTGGGGTGAAAGTGGGAGGGTATCGGAGGAGAGAGATCCAAGGTGCAGGAGACAGCGAGTAACAAACACACCGGTACCTACCTCGATGTCTATTCGTCAGGGCTCGTCCACCAATGCGATGATGCTGGTGGTGGTGGTGACGATGATGATGATGATTAAGGTGATAAAGAAGGGGGGAAACTTGTCTCGAGGAAGAGGCCATGAGAGGGAGGCATTATGTCTATATATCTGTGTTTCTGGGGTTGGAACTCCTACATGCAACTTCAGGCATGTAGAATTGAACGAGAACAAGACACAAGACGGCGAGGCGGCGAATGCGGCGTTCAGCGAGTGGTCAATTGATTGGTTGATACGGCCAGGAAAAGGTCGTCGAAGCAGAAAAGGAATCCGCAAGGAGCTATCTGGGCGAAATGAGGATGATGCGGAGGCGGGAGATGGGGGCTCTCTCTATGGATACACAGGACGTTCAAGGGAAACTCCAAAGACAGATTCGAGCTTCATCAACCTCAATCAAGTTGGATTCACCCTCCCCGGAATACAAGGGATAGACAGAGCTTAAGCACGGACTGATACTGAGCAGCGGTTGAGCAGCCCTCTACGCCGTCGTAGCGGCGGCCGGGGATAATAAACAAGAGACATGGAGGATGATCCGGGGCAAAGCAAGATAAGGGCATTAGAGGGATGTGAGCCAACGTCACTCAGGTAAGCCAAGGTCTGGAGATGAAGACGGTCTCAGCAGGGGACAAAGCCCTCGAGAGAACGGATTCGTCCCGGCCGTGGGCGCGCGGGTACGACAACCAAGGTGAATCGTAGACCTGCGCAAATGAAGGCATGCCAGTGTCTGGTGAACGATACCACCGAAACGGACTTGGGAATGGGCGTTGATTCTCCGTTACCGCAAGGAGGTGAGAGAATATGTGGGGGGACACTTGTTCAGCACTGTTGCCAGACCGATGAGCATACGAAAAGCGTCAGGCAGGTAAGGCGGTCGTGGCGGTCCTGGGGAAGTGGAGGTTGCAATCCCGGAATGCCACGACACATTGGACGAAGAGAGAGCGAGACAGGCTCGTCGCGGATGTGGTGCCAATGAGAGCAACCTAAAGCGTGTGTTGGTGCAGTGGTATCCGATACCTAGTGCAAGCGTAAACCATTACGGGCGAGAGTGACGAGATGACACATAACCCAGCCAAGTGCACTGTATGAGGTACCAAGCATCGATGAGTGGAGGAATGACGGTCGAAGGAGTGAGATACCCGGTGATCTTCAGGTCTTTGGGTCTCTGATCTTTAGCCATATCCAGGTCGTGCAAGCCCGTCTCACGTTTGTGTTCCTGGCACAAAGACGTCAACGTGGTGACGTTTTGTCGTTTTGTCGAACCCTGTCGGATACATCGAATCTTGTGTGCAAGACACGAATACGTTTTGCCGAGGGAATAAACGCAATAGCAAATGCCAACAGCTCTTTACGTGGCCCCAGGCACTTGACCGACTGGTCCTGCAGACCTGCACGTACAGCAGCGATTTGTAGGTTACGAGGGCGGATAACGGCGTGTATCTCTGCAGTATCCGTACCGTACGGAGGCATCCGAATCGAATCTCTCTTGGCTGTGGAATGCCACTAGGTCCTGACGAGGCCTGAGCACAGTGAGACCTCGTGATAAAGCCAAAAACCGCTCGAGTGATGATGGCGCAAGAACGATAATGGGAATGGCAATATCCAGTGACCTGGGCCAAGTTGCGATCCTCGGATGGTCGGACGCCTCAATGTCTGAGGGTTCGAGTAGGGCCAGCTCCCCAGCCCCAAGCCCCAGGCCAGTGTGAGTCTGGCCCACGGCTGGCTAGGCAAGCCTCAAGCGAGGGAAGCAATGGGCCTTCTTGGCTGCCTTTCGGCAGGCTCGAAATTGGCAAGACGACTGTGGTCCTAAACGACAGGGGGGTTGTCGGCTGGACCCTGGGCATGAGGGCGAATGGAGTTGAAAATTATTTTCGAAAAGAATTTTTCCTCCATCTGTCGCGCTCTCGCCCCGGTCAAATCCCACGTTGCTGCACCCACTAACAACGTGATCCCCGCCCTCACCCTCGAAACCTCCCCGACGGCGGGGACAAGTTGGTCGGTGTCCATATGTCTCGCCCGTAGGATTTTCGTTTTCCGTATAAGTCCGCGTAATAATTCCTCATGGTCCGTGTCGATCCCGGGAGACTCAAGTCGCCGCCGTCGTTACCGGAAGGGATGACCGTTCAGGCCGAAAGACCATCTGGCCCAAGATGGGGATTCCAAGACAGGCCTGGAATGGATGCTATGGCGACAGGCGTGGGCAAGGAAAAGGAACGACCGAACGAGGCCGAGAGCTGATATCAAAGGTGACAAATATGGTGCGAGGAAACCCAAGGGTCTTTGATGCGCTAGCATCAGACATAGGGCGCACTTGCAGTAATACTTTCTCTCCCTTCACTCTTGAAGTTTGGACCAAGAGTTTTGGATGCCGTTTGTCAAGCTCAGATATGCAAGTTGGGGGTTTTCTCTTGCTGATCCCGCCGGGAGATTCCAGTCAGCAGTACGGAGTAGAGATGTCAAATGCAAGTGACGTTAGCTGGCATCGATCGTGGATCATTACCTGGGCAAGCAGAGTAATGCAGAGTATGTTCGACATGCAGCGGATTCGGAGGCCTGATGTTGAATTAAAACAAGATATGCAACTCTGCCCTGATGTTGACGTTGAGCAAAGAGCAAACGAAGATCCAAATCC